TTCCAGTTAAAGTTTGAAATTAATCTTTTAAACATAAATTTCATTTTTCACCTTTCCTACCTTTTGTTTTCTGGGGGAGGTAGAGCAAAAGAGTCCTGTATTTATTTGAGTGTGTTTGTAAGATATGTTTGGGCTGAATTCCCAAGTAATTTAAAATTAGTTGGTTTTGCATTCCTGGTCAATCTAATAATACAATATATTCCTAATAAATTATATTATTAAAATAAGGTTAGGAACAGATGCTAATGAGTGGCCCTAGTGTCTTTGATGGAACCTTAGGTTTAAATCTGTAAGTAAATATTTTGAGTATTGCAGACTTTTTTGGAAATTAATTTAAAAATGAATTTGAATTTGTGTTTGAATCTAAATATGGTTAAATTGTAGCACAATTTGCTCACAATTTCTTACTCATTGGATTAGGAAGGTATGTTTTTAAGTATATATTCTAGTTTAATAGTGTAAAATTTAATAGTATTCTAATCTAATATTGTGATCTTTTTTTGACCCTCTGTTAAGAAGTAATTTTAAAAGTGTTAGTCAAAAGAGAGACAATGTCATTTTTCCCTGTGTGGCAGAGGGATCGTCTGATCATTTTATTACAGGGGTAGCAAGGCAAATTTTAAGCTAAGCAGGGAAAACCGATGTAAGCACACACCTGTAGTCAAGCATTTTCATTAATAATTATTTATTCAATGATATTTAATGTTTTTGCTGCTGATAGAACAGTGGTAGCCTGAGTGGGTTGTTTTACAGTAGATAGATATTTCTGTGTATGAGCAATCTTGACTCCATGTTTCGTTTTTTGTATGTATTAAATCCTTGTGAATTTAGTTTCAGAAGTCTTTCTGAAAAGCAGTTAAATGAAAACTATGCCTGAATTTAGCCTAACTGCACTTTATGGGAGGCTATGGCATGCAAGGATTCCGGGGAACACAGGTGAGGGAAAATGCACATTGAGTATGTGATACATTAGACGCATGTTGGAGAGTGTAGCCATGTGCTTCATGCAAGGACAGATTTCTGAGTGGGCCTTAATCTGGGGTAGATAATAAAGCACAGGTGGGGCAAGAAATTCTAGGACTGAATTAGCAGATGACCTTTTTGTAAATATACCTCTTTTCAAACATAAAACTGAATTTTAGTAAGCCCTCCCCAGCTCTTCCCTTCTTCCTGTGCTGCCCAAAAAAAGGTTTGCTTAAACTGGTGTCTGACCAAGACAGATAAAGATTTATGGAGTAAGTAGTTGGGAGAAAAGGGGTTTCTTCTACCCTTAGTGTTGACTTCTGCAGTGAATAATTGCATGTTGCATTCATGGCAGACTGACTCTCTACTTACATGAGAACATACTTTGTTCTAGCAGAATGTATTGTTCTGAGGAATATTTTACTTTTTTTTTCAAACTTTTATTTATGTATATTGCATGGAAAAAATTGCATATTAAGATCTACTTAGAGTGCAGTGCACCTGTTCAAATTAGAGAACATGGTATTCATTCTGTGCCAGTTGCTATTTGTATTCCTATCTCTTTTTCAGCTATTTCTGTTTGAGCTTCTGTGAGTTTTTATTAATCGTGAGGCTTTTTAATTGGAATTTTTTATTGTTGTGCTTGTATTGTTGTACCTCAGACTTTCTTCTTGAATTATCATCTCTGCTTTTTCCTTTTTTTGCACTTTCATTTATTGAATAGAATGTAAAATAAACTAATACTTAAACAATCTAATTCAGAGGAGACAAAATATTGAATTTCTGTAAAACAATGCAGAATTGGAATTCATATATAATAGGCTGCAATAGATGAAAATTATTAAACCATATCTCACTTATCATAGATCTTTTTGATAGGAGCAAAATCTGTGCCATTAGTTCCAGACCAGTGTATTTCCCATTCACAATGCTCTAGTGCATAACATACAAATCTGTCCTCATCATCCTACATTACTTTTTCAAAGCAAGACTAACATGAAGCAAGACAGGATGAATGAAAGTCAATGAAGGTCAACTAGACAATCCAATTACTAAAGATTCTTGGAAGAACAGTACTGGGATCTATAAAAGAATTGTGTGTGAATTTCTGTGTCTTTGTTGACCGAGGGTCATTTCTGTAGAACTGCAGTATATTTTCTGTGGTAATCTGGTTTTAGATTGTGCTAGTCTAATTTGCTTGTACAGTACATCAGGATGCAGTTGTTTAAAAATTTGTTAGTTTACAGAAGCCATATTTATAATACATGTTTAATGCACCTGTTCTATCTTCTGAGTGGTGAAGACAAAAATGTAACATACAGTTACATACTGCATTATACGAGGAAGTGTTAAGATGCATAATCATTGCACACACATCACTGCTAATTTTCCATGCATTTTTTTCATCAGTCACTTATTTTTCTTTAATTCTGCAGAATAGACCATCTCTTGGGCGTGTCAAACACATTCATACAATAAGAGGATACCGTTTCTGGCTCCTGCTGATGGTAGAAATAGTGACCTGGCTTGCATATTTGAGTTTAAATATGAAAGTTCAAGTCTGTGTGTAAACCATCTATGCTAGACAATGCAGATGATGAAATAGGAAACAGTCTAGTTAAGCAGAAAAATAGTTGTTTTCAGTCTTAGAAACTTTCTTGAGTTTGAAGTTAAACTTTGTTGCTTCTGTTTCACCAAATCACAGAATCAGTTAGGTTGGGAAAGACCTGTGAAATCATGGAGTCCAATCTTTGACCAAACATCACCATGCTGTCGACTAGACCATGGCACCAACTCCCATACCTGTCTTCCCTTAAATACCTCCAGGGACAGTGACTCCACCACTCCAGGGTTGGTGACTCCACCACTCCCCTGGGCAGCCCATTCCAATATCTAATCACCCTTTCAGGTCTGGCAGAAGCTTTCCTAATTTTTTTTCTCCTTGATACAAATAGGTCATGTGGGGAAAAAAAAAGATATGCTTCTACATGCAAACTTTGTATAGTTATGTTTTTGAGCCTTACGTAAATAAGGACAGGTAGGATTCAGTTATCCATATTCAGTTATTCTAACTGAAGACTAGACAATTTTACTAGACTATAATGCTGCACTTACATTTATAAATAAATTCCAAATGACTGCATGTTCTTACTTTCCCCAACCTCTGCAAAAAGAACAGAAAGACCTAATATAAATTTTAGTTTTTAACCTTCATTTAGATTACAAGTATTTTGATCTGATATTTCTGTGCATAGTGTCTCATATTTGTCTTATGAGAAGCCATTGTAGTGAAATAGCAAGTGTATGTGTGTATGTATATATATAGAAATATATATACATATATTCCTTTCCAACTACTACAATTATAGGAGAGTGGAGTCATGTTAAAAGTGCCTAACCAAGCAGAATATCAAGTGGCCTTCATTACAGGCTGTCTGGCTGGGAATCATGTGATTAAAAAATCAATTGCTGTAGATGATATAGGGTTCCAAAAAGAAGTGATGTATTCCTAGATACTGATGTAGTAAAGAATGCTGACAGGAGGTTACAGTGTTGATTGAGAAAATTTCTACAGTGTTTCCCAATAAAAGTTGAAGTCAGCTTCTGCAGGTAGTGAAGTTTTGTTGTCTGACGGCAAAGGACAGGATCTGTTAGTGAACTGGGCTTAAAGACAACAACACTGCTATTTTGTTCATAAGTCAAGATTTAAGAACAAATTGTTGTTTTCAGTAGCAAAATGAGTGTTTAAAGTGGTGATTTCTACTACAGTAATTTTGAAGCATATTCAGGTAGTGTCACGCTTTTGCCTGGAAAATCATGAGGCTTGCGTGGCATACAGAGGTAATGAAGGATCTTTTGTCTGATTAAATAGATAGTGCATGCCTAACAAGCACTGAAAAGGTTCACTGCTAATCTGTAAACTATTTAATATATATCATCATAATCTACTGTTACTAATTTTTATAAAAATTATTTTTCCATAGATTTTGTTTAGAATACAGAAAATTCCAAAATATGAAAAGAAGATATTTTAAGACATACTAATTTTATTATTTGCATTCAAAATGTTATTTTTTCAATGTCTTCATGCACCTGAATGTTAGCTATAAGTAAGAAATTGTTTGTATGTAAAAGTTGGAAGCTCTCTAATTAATTTGTGCTATTAGACATTTGTGGTATTGATTTTTCATTGCTATGTTTTCTTGCTAGCTAGGGCAAACCTGTCTGCAACAGAGAATCACACTTTAATCTTCTGTAGAAAGAGTAGGTTAAGATTGTAACAGGGTCCTTCTCTTAGATCATTACCTGAATCAGAGAGTTTAGTTTATCTTCTAGAGAGGAGATAAACTTTCTTTTCCACCTGGTTTGGTTCTGAGAGCATGCTAAATAGTGCAAATCTGTAAGTCTTCGACTTGTGATAGTATTTGTCAAAGGCTTTTGGCAATCAGTATCTTAAAAAACCTAAATAGTTTGTGTGGCTGTCCTCAGTTAAGAGGAATGTGCAAACCCAAAAATGAATGATTGTGTTAGATAAAATCAAAGAAATTCTGAAATACACTGGTTTGTTTTTGTTTAAGTAGGCAGACCTGGGACATGGGGCTGTGCAGATACCACATGATCAGTACCCAATTTGTGATTGAATCTGTTTAGCTGACCCCTAACCCCTTCATTTTGACCTGTTCTCATTTTAATTGGGTTCTAAATACACAGTCCTAGAAGGCTTGTGTTTTATTTGGCAGATGTGCCACAATGAGAATCTTCACTCAGTGAGAAGTTTTTGCTCTGAGAAAACTGCACGAGGTCTATAACAATGTTCAGTAACCCCAAACCAATACAGCTCTGATGTGGTGTTTTATCTATAAACCTGTATCTCCAGGCTGCCTTTTCAAAATTTGTTTTGCCAGAGTCCTCACCAAGGTCAACAGATGCTGCCAGTATGCAATAAAGTGGCTTGTTGGGCCACTTAGTTGCTTAAACTGTGTAAAGTATGTGCTTATATCACCCGTTTAACTGTTGCCTGTTTATCTTTTCTGCAGGTGACAGATCAGTCAGTGAAAGCTTTTGCTGAACATTGTCCAGAGCTGCAGTATGTTGGTTTCATGGGTTGCTCTGTTACATCAAAAGGAGTCATTCACCTTACCAATGTGAGTATCATAACTACTTTTAGCTAGTCATTAGTGTGTTTGATTGTAGCCAAGTCACAGGTATCAGTCAGGATAAGTTTATATGTGTGATTTATAACATTGACATGGACAGAAACATGACACAGTAAATGAACTTTGAATTATTTGAGCAATCACATTCAGATTTCACTGTGTAAAAACACTGTATCAAAAATATAATCAAAGTATTATACATTTTCTCAGAAGTAACAATGTTGTTTAGGTCAAACATCTTTAAAATGCCTAATTACAACAGATTCCATTGCAAACAAAACAAAATTCCATGATCAAAGTGCAAAATTCTAATTGCAAGAGATTTGGACAGACCCCTTACTGCAACAGTGTACATAACATCGTATGTGTATATTCATCTTCATATTTTAACATAGATAGTTTGACATATACACATAAGAGGAGTCATGTCTGGGAGAGCTAATATGAGTGAATCTGCAGAAAATAATGGAACTGTTCAGTAAAATGGATGCCTTGGATGAGGTGGACAAACACTATAGTAATTAAAATTTATAAGTGAAAGTAAATTCAGGGATCATGCAAACATAAAAATGGTTAAGGAGATCTTGAGGTGCCAAGTAGAGAATATATTCAATGGAAAACAGAAAATGCCTGAAGAAAATAAAGGTTTTTTGATACAGCTGTGCAGCTGTCCAGTTGTTATACAGAAGCATTCAAGATGTCTGTAAAATACTTTTGTCATTTTAGGGCTGCTTAGTAGCTGAATATACAGAAGAATTGAAAAGATTTTGGAACATATCCAAAAAGAAATAAAGCAGAGAAATTAATTTGCATGGTAAAGTTATAGGACCTCAAAGGATGCCATTGGGAAAGGACTCTGTGTACTGAAGTGATGTGTAAAAGGGGTATATATTAGTGGGAGAAAGAAATTATGCTGCTATTTTCATGTCATATGAAAACTATCTGTGTATAACTATAGGTTGTATTTATATATACAGCATAAATATAGAGTTTATGCCATATTATATTTCTTAGAAATATAATTTAACATAAGACAGGGTGTGTAGTCCAAGGCTTTATTGGAAATTTCCACACAGATCACTTTTCAGCTACATGCTTTGGTTACTGTATTATTCTGGCCTAGATTTACTGAGTATTTAATAGATGTCTTATCCTTCAACAAAGTGACTTTATAATCCCATTTATTAGATAAAAGTAAAGATCTTTATTTTTTGTATTAAAATATATTTTTCCTTTTCTTGGGTTTAATAATAATAAAGTATTAGAAATCCTGATTTATGTGGGAGTGACACTGTTGAATGTAGTCCTTTAGTCAATATTTAAGAGACCAGTTATACTCTTAGAATGTAATTACTTTGTAAGTAATTGGTGCACGTTGGGACTTGAGATTTGGGGATTCCAGTTTCCTTCCCTCAAGCTGTATCTGTACAACTTTCTGTAGGCTATGAATACTGCAAAGACAGTGATGTGGTAACACTGAAAGTTAGAGACTGTTTATTCTGGAGAAGAAAAGGCTCAAGAGAACCTTCTTGCAACCTTTCTACACTTAAAAGGGACTTAAAGATGGGGACGGGCTTTTTAGTAGGGCCTGTAGGAAACTGTAACATGATCTTTAACTGCTGCATCTGTCTTTTCCAGAATTTATCTGTTGATAACATCATTTTTTGTTCTAACCATCACGTATTTCATGTGGTTAGCTTTATGTTGAGTCCTTCCAGTCCCATGTTCCTAGAGAGTGTGGAATCTGTTCTTTGTTCTGTGTGGCCTGCAAGTGTGTCCCGTAAGGCTGTGCAGAGCCAGTTCCTTTCTGTCCTGCTTCCTGTGTGCAAGCTGGAGATAACAGCAATGGCCTCGCTTGTGAAATTGCTTCAAGGCTGATGCATATATAAAAATGGAGTGGTTTATTATGACTGTATTTTCCCCCCAGTAATGTTAGCTGTCTTTAAAAATACTAGCACTTGAAAATTCTAAATTACAGTGCTGCTGCATTGCAGAACTTTTTTAATAGCTAATTGTAGGGAATGGTAGTGAAAATGTTGTATATTTTAGAAAAAGAAGAAACATTTAGGGTTTATTTTCATTATTTTTCTACTGAACACAAGGACAATCAAAAAAATTTGCTTTTTGAGCAAGACCATGTCACCACATTGGTGCCTTTTTTTCTTGAAGTTGTTATTAGATTAAAAAAATGCACCCAAAAGAAGTAATAATTACTGGGTAAGATGAGAGGCACTTGCATGTGCATACACTGGAAGAAAGGGGAAAGAGGAGTGTGTGTGTGTGTATATGCAGTTCACAGTTAGACTCACAGTTGAAACCAGTGGTTTGTTCTGATGACCTGAATGTTTCATTGGGCTTTGTAGCTCTAATGTGTGAAACATTGTCACAGAAGATCTGAATGATTTGGACTATGACATCAGAAAAGCTAGTCCAACATTTGTCAGCTTTTTTTCTCTGGAGGAGGGAAAAACATGTACTGCATGTAGTGTTGTAGTTTGTCTTCTGTTTTTAGTACATCCCTACCCACTGCTTTCTTGTTTTATCTTTTTTCTCACTTGTTTTATTATTTGCTTAGCTTTCCCTGTATGATTTTTTTTTTCTTGTTTGCTCTCTTCCTCCCCTCCTCACATCCTTGTCTCTCAGGAGCATATTCCTGGTTAATTTTTACTTCACTTCTCCTTTAAGTGTGAAGAACTGCGCAAATGTGAAAAGTACCTCTGCGTGTTAGGTGATTGTGTTGAAAACAGAACAACCAGATGGATAATTTTTATTCATAAACTGAGTGGGCATAAGAAATCTGTATTCTAACTAAAGAAATGGTGATTTTTTATTTTATATCTCTGACCTCGAATGTGGTGGTATTTTCCTCCCCTGTTGTGGTAATTGCCTCTCAGCACTTTAGTTGTTGCACTTGTAATAGAATTTTAACAGCTGGCATCAGCAAACCTTGACATCTAAATATAATTTTATTACGAAGCCACTTCCTTGGCTTCTTCCTTTGGTTTCTGATATGTATGCAAGAGTAATTGCTTTGTAGCAGTATAACTCTATCTGTGCTTCTGCACCTTGTGCTTCTGTCAGACTGTCTGGTAAAGTTTATTACAAACATCTAAGTGTGTATGAATCCTTGTACAAAATTTCAAGAGAAAAAATTTCTAATTTACTCTGCTAATCACCAGTGCATGAAGACACTTTATCTAAGAACTATTTTTGTAGTAATGTGATCTTTAATCTTTCTTCATCTCATAGTTGTTACTCGAGAGTTATGTCTGATCCAACTTAGTGTTACTTGTTTCTGAGCTGGTGGCCAATACGAAGTCAATCAAAATTCAGATTTATGGAGGAAATACTTAGTGCTCATTCAGTGCACGTATTACCAGTTTGACAGATATATAATGATAATCTACACATGACATGACTGATTTTGCAATGGCCTTGTCTAAACTGGGGTACTGTATGGTCTCCTTCTAGGAACTGATTTGTTTTGACACAAAGTGTTCTGCTTTATGCTCCTTTTATGGTAATACTTCAGCATACCCTCTGATCTTAACATCATCAAGCTTTTATCTAGGGCCATGATTGCTCTTCTTTGTCTGGGTCAAAAGAAAACAGTTTTTTTAGTCAGTTTGTTTTCAGATTGCTATTTTTAATTTTCTCTGATCATACATTTACTTTGGGGGGCTTAAGTCAGAGAGCAGTTTATTCCCTGAAGGCATGTAGACACAGAAAGTGTCAAGAAAATTAAGTTTCATTAAAATTCCATTAATTGTTTAGTGGTGGCCTTGGCAGTTTCAGGTTTCATTTGGAGTTGGGTTTAAAGTTCTTTTCCAACCTAATGATTCCATGATTCCATCCTATTTTATGATTTTTAAGGTAGCATATCTCTACAGGAATTGTGGAATCATGCAGGGGGGAAAAAAGTGAATACCCATTATATTAGTAATCCCCTAAACAGTAACAGCTAAAAATTCACAGGAGTTGATAACACCCACACTGAAAAATTACCTGTGATCCCAATTTAGTAATAGTAATTTTCTAAATCATGGCACATATTTTAATATTATAAGTTCCAGTAGTCAAGATAGAAATCTTAGGAGTTCTGTAACATTCAAGCACACAAATAGTATGATAGCCTCTGAATCTTTAAATGTATTAATGGGCATAAAATTTAACTTAAGCGAACCAACAAAAGTATTGAACGAAAAGGATTGTACTGTATTTTAAAATATTTGAGATCCAAAAGTAAAGTGTAATATCTTTAAAATAGTATTTAACTTTACATTTGTATTTAAAATATATTAAAATTAAAAAGCTCTGTTTTTCAAACTTCTTTGTCTAAAACCATTTGGTGATTTAAGTGGTTCTTCTGCATCTGTCATTTCCAGTGGAGCAATTCACTCTCAGTACATTTTAACTGATAATCTCCTCACAGAAACTTTACCTACTGCTCTGTTAATTTTGTGTCAGTAGGACTGAGAGGAAAGAACCAACTTGTGTTCCCTTCCTATGTCATTCATGTACTTAGACTCCTTCAGTTTTAGACTCACACATTTTTAACACTGAGTCAATAATCAGTAATTTCAGCAAGAATGTGTTTATATGCATCACACAAAATTAGTTTACATGTTCTTGCTTTCTATTTTGTTATTTTTTGTTTCATATTTTAAGCCCTCTGTCTACTGTTTGCATGCTGTGTTTTATTGTCACATTAAATATTGCTTGTTCAGTTAAGACATTTTGCCTGATGGAGCTGAGTTCAAAGTTTAAATTCTGCTCGTGCTGAACATTCTTTGCAGAGCTATAAAATTAGGAGTTGAAGAAAAGTGTGAATACCTGTAGAAGAGTGGCCCTGAAAATACTCAATAAAATGGTATTGCTGCATGACCAAAATTGGTTTTGATAAAAAAAAAAAAGGGAGAAACTTTATGCATCCTAGTGGCCTAAGGTTGAGTATTTAAGTCACAGAGTATCCTATTTCTGTAGAAAAAAATTCTATGTAAAGGTATGCTATTTTAATCTCAAGAATGCACTGAAGATTCAAACATCTGAACTGTCCAATTGTCTACTTCAGAGAAGTTTGATTTTTAATTTTTTCTTTTTAATATCTGTGGTGGTTTGGGCTAGGCCTTCCTTGGTGACCAGTTTGTAACCAAGGAAGGGTCCAGATTTACCCAGTATTCCCTACGATTTTTACGTAAGCCAGACTATAAGAAGAGAGGAGGAGAGGCCTTCGTTCTCTTTTCCTTCCGGCGGCTTGGAGGTGCAGGTTCCCTGCTGTTGAGTCTGCCAGGTTGGGGAACGAGGCCTGGTTAGGCCTTGCTGACCTTGGGAGACAGAGGTTGCCGGCGATCGTTCCGGAGCGACTCTCGGTTGTCCCAGGAGAGTAGTGAGATATCTTCTTTGCTAACTTTTTTTTTTGGTTACTAGATCTCGGGCTACTGATTGGGATATATATATATATATATTATTTTAGTTTTGTTCCTTTTCCCCTTCCCCTTTCCCTTTCCCTTGTGAAATTGTATATAAGTGTAAATATATTTATATATATCACTTTGGTTGTTTCTCTCTCGTTTTCGGGTTTTTCTTAGTTTTTTCTCCCTCTTCTCCCTGAGGTTTTTTTTTTTTGTTGGGGGGGGGACTTCTGGTGGTAAGGTTTGGAGACTTGGCAGGGAGCCAGCTTCAAACTATATCAATATCATACTACTTTTAGCTGTGTTAGAGGTAGAATATAAAATTTATGTATTTTTCTCTTGTAACATTTTAATAATAGTAGTGATTGCAGCATTGTAGCATTAATCCCTTAAAGTTACTTTTTCGATAAAGTATAGGAAATTTGTCATTAAGGTATCTGTCTTTCATTTTAAATGAAGAATGGTTACATACACGTTTATAACTATTCTCTGACTGGTAAGATGATGTAGATACCTCTGACTTAAGTAGGCAAGAGGTATTCTTTTCACCTGTCGTATTCAACTGATTCAAATTGATGTGATGAAGGGAATGTTTTCCAGGTCTTGAAAGTCATTCACACATCTGAAATGGCAAGAGGGGGTTGTATAGACCAAATTATACTTGTGTATGTATCAATCTGAAGCAGTCTCTTCAAACACAGTAAGGTTTTCTGGATTGAGTATGTTGTGCCTGATGAAAAGAAAAATTAACCTACCAAGTAGGTCTGTTTTAAGTTTTAAAATGAAGGAGTGTGACAGTAAAAAAGACAAGTGATGGTTGAGCTACTGTATATTGAATATAATGGTAGACTATTATTGGCATGAAGGAAAGAAGCCGTGAGGGGATGATCATTCTCTTGTGGTGGTAAAAGATAAAATCTACCTTGAAAACCCTGTTACTTTGGTCAGTAGGAATTCGGTTTAAGTTTTGAGTCTACCCATGCAGTGCAAAAGTTTTTTTTCCCCTGGAAATCACAAGTGCTGCATTCATCGTTGAATCATTGAGGCAGATAATACACTGGTACCTAATTTGAACCCGTGTTATTTAGGCACTTTTTGAAGAAGCACTGACCTCTCTCCGTGCATTGATTCTTTAATGTAAATTTGTGGTTTTTACTCTGTAAGTAATAATAATGACAAGAGAATCACCAGTATTATCATCTCATAAGAATAGTCTTGTTAAAAAAGCATAAGTGAGAAGATTTTTTACTTGTCTTTGAGGTCTCCTGGTAAATATGTGTTTACTGTCATAGAACATGTTCATTGTTGAGTTGTCCAGCAGGTATATTTTCTGTGTCATAGACATAGGCCACATTATTGCCAACATGGTCTAAAGGCTGAAATATGTAATATGAATAGTGGTAAGAACATGAGGAAAACTAAAGTTGCTGTAAGCTTCACCTTCTTGTAATTTATGCAGGAAAAATGGACAGATTGGTTGTGAGCTTTTGTTGGGCATATAGAAGGTTAGGCCTTTAAAGTTTGTGCTGGAGCAGCATATGTAAAATGCAGGGAGGCATAGCTTGTAATAGGTGTGTATTTTACAAACACAGTATCAAACACTATGTGCTCTGCTCCCTAACAGGCAAACAAGATTTTCAGAATTTCAATGGGAATACAGCAAGAACCTCCACAGTATACCTGTGGTAGCATCCTAATGATAGAAATATTATTGCCCTACTTTCTATAGAAATGCCCTGCAGACTCAGAGGTCAGAGTCCTTAATTCTATGCTTGTTCTGCAGAATTTTTGGAAACGGTATGTAGTTTATCTTCAGCTTTAGTTTGGAGAATATTAAAAACTTGTGGAAAAAAATACCAAGATATCAGTTTCCATAGAAGGCTACCTAAAAGTCCTCTCTTTTTCCTTTTCTCCCCCCCCAACCTTCCACCTGCCCCAAATACATTGACTTAATAATTAGCTACTGAAGTGGACAAATTATATGATCTCAGTTGTATGCCTTTATCTAATCAAATCCTCAGTGACTTAAATCACTGATGAGGATTATTTTTTCTCTCTCACAGGGAAGGTGAATTTAATTAAGCTGTCAATATTGCTTAATGCAATTATTTTTCCAGAGTATAATAGAGATTATTTCAGACAGCTTGAAAAGCAAACAGCACTTGGAATTTATTATGACTAAACTGATACTGCAGAAATTTGTAAAAATTTTCTTCTTTGCATCCGTAGCTCATAAAAGTAGTAAGAGGGTTTCATTTTGAAGGACATTAGAAAGATTTACTGTAGTAATAAATCAGATTAATCAGTGCATAAATCTTAATCACATTGTGCTGTCACTCCCAACTTTTGTTGTTCAGAATATCCAAGCCTTATACTATATAACTATATATAGTTTGAAAGCCTTATACTCTGGGGTCATTCATATCATGCATGTGAACCTAAGCACAAATGTGCTGTTCCCTTCCTTCCATGCCTTGTTTTTCTTACAGTTAAATGGGTTGATATTTTACCTTGGTATCTTACACTCCATATATGTAAGAAGAGGAAAGTCTAGGCCCTTATTGTAGGTGTATTGGACCATGAGAGAGAGTTTCTGGATTTCATTTAGTAACTTACTGCCTGAATTCCAAGGTTGCTAAAGTTTGATTCTGTGAATACCTCTGATATGTTTGCTTTGTGTGAAAAATATAGTAATTATATCTTTCTTGGCTAGCTTGCACATATTGGGCTCGATTCCAAGAAGTTTGACAGTTTTTTACAATGGTTATTTGTGTCAATGAATTTCAGATTATTTCTTTCTGTCATATTTGTCTCAACAGCTGAGAAATCTGTCAAGCTTGGACCTGCGTCATATCACAGAACTGGACAATGAAACGGTGATGGAAATAGTAAAAAGATGCAAAAACCTTAATTCTCTCAATCTGTGTCTGAACTGGATCATTAATGACAGGTAACATCAGTATAGTATCCAAAACCAGTATAATGCAAATTTGACTAGTTGTATTAGTTTAGAATTTTGGGGGTTGGAGGAGGTCAATTAGACCAAGCAGTGTTTTCTTAGTGCTTGTTCTTACTTGTTTGGGATAAATTGTTTAGACATGTGTTTTACAGTGTTTACCTGTTTCTGTGGGGGAGAAAAGTTTAGTTGTGATTTGATGGCAGCACTAATCTTTTTCATATAGATTTCAGGAGAATGTGCTCTGTGTCATGTGTGATTGAAATGTTTAGTTGCTATTATGACTAGGATTTAAGCAGATTGATAGGCACACAAACAATGAAACATATGTTTGACTGCATACATAAAAATAACTGCTTTTGAGTTAAATACTGGAATTCCTGTATTTTTGAAAAGGCACAAGGTCTTGGGGTTTTTTTGCAAAGAGCTCCAGAATGAAACTGGAAGAATAACTGGATTAGTACCTTGGTCTTTTTCTTTTGACCAGAATACCTCCTGTATCAAAAGCTCCTCTTTTGATCAGCTAATTTATTTTAACATTAAGTAAATGCACACAGATGTTGTACAGTTCAGATGAAAAATAAAAAATACTGAGAATTTTAAGAATGAACATTTTCCTTTAAAATGAGAACATTGAGCAAAGCCAGTACCTGAAGGTGCACAGATTGGTTTATTATAATTGGTACTTTAAACAAACGGAAAGAGACACTTTTAACAGAGAGAGGTTCTAAAACAGTTTCATATAAACCAGAATAATGTATTCTAGCAATTGTACTGTACTTCTTTCCCATGATTACTTTTTTTTTTTAAATAAGATACGCTTTCAACGTTTTTGTAAGTCTTCGAGGATGTACTGAAGTGTGGATGAGCTCAGACTTTGGTGAAACTGTAGTGTTGTATAAGTACTAAAATTGCAGTGTGTTGAATGGGAAGTACCACTAAACTTTTACCTTAACTCTCTTAGCCTTTAAGACAGTTTTTTTGGTTTTGTCAGTTTAGGTCAGACCTTTAATGTAATGTCACTGATTTTGAAGCATTTCCTTGTCTCAGATCATTCTGTCAGTAGCAAATTTAAAAGACAAGCTGTTTTCAGGCTTTAATTAAAATACTTAGAAATATATACCTGTCTGCATTAATGTTCTGAGTATGGCAATTTGCTAAGTATGATCCAAACTGCTGTCAAACTGTTCTTGAAAATACTTTATTAGAATTACTAGAATAATAAGTATATATTTGAAATCTGTTCATATTACTGTAAAACTTTATCCGAGTATGAATTATAAATATAAGAATTATGAAGCTTAGCAAGAAAAGGAAACCCTTTCCAGCAATGACAGATAACCTGCTTCTATGTGTGACTTTTAGGTTGTTGACTTTAGCTTTAGCTTTTTCTATTTTAAATTTATTTCTGATCGTACTTGTCAGTCCTTTTTTCAACAATTTATGTTTGGCTATTTAAAGGAGCTTCTAGCTAAAAGCAAACAGAGAGTTTAGAAAATAATTAATGCCTTTGTTAAAACTTATTCATAGACAGTCATTTGACAGTTCAGATTTTTTCCCTGTTTTACGAGTGGTATGAAACTCCAGATACTAGTCTTAACTGAATAAAGTAGTTTTCTCTGCTCCTCCTAAATGCTCAATTAAGAATTGCTGAAAATTATGTAAAGGGAACATGGTGCAACCACTGGGGTCTATTGAAGTAAACACCAGTTCAGCAGAATATTTTGAGCATATTCACTTTGAGAATGTGAGGGATCCTTCAGAAGTTCACAGGACTGTTCAAGTGCTTATCTTGGGTAAAATGCAAGTTAGTTTTAACTAAGGTAATGAATTTATTAATTATTTAGGATTAACTTTTTTTTTTAGATTTGACGCTATTAGGTGGCTCCAAGTCAGAGGAGATTCTGCATCTTGATTATTGAGGAAACCTTTTGTGTGTCATTGCTTCCAACACATGTGGGATAGTAGCAGTCTAATGTTTTTCCTGACTATTGGATTTAATATAGAGATCACCACCTTCCCCCACCCCCATTATCAAGCATGTTTACTTGTGAGATCCAGCTACATAGGGCTTGTATTGGAGATCTTCTCTTGGAGATCTTGAAACTAAAAAGTTTCAAAATACCAATATAACTTAAAGATGCATCTGTGAAGTATTTCTTAAAGGCAGTTGATTATTGGTTAGTTTTACAGCAGAAGTCACTGGTTTTAAAACTTTATTTTAGATTTCATTATTATTATGTCTAGGAATCCATTAAAATTCTTTCCGTGAGCAATACTGTGACCTTGGAACACTTACAGCCCTCTCTTGCCTGTGACATGGTGTTAGAGCTAATGCTGTGATCATTACAGTTCTTCTTAAATAACTGACACTTTCAGAGTGTAAGATCTCTGCATGGCAGGCACTTGCTAAGATTTTTGGTACTGTGGTTCTTTTGCACATGCAAGAATTAATGAGAACTGTTAATTCTCTGTTTTGATAAAAGCTCTTTTTGGAAGTATGCATCTAAAAAGCTTATGTGTGGCAGTAAAAAATAATTTATTTTTACCTAAGGCAAAAAATACGTTCAGTATGTTCAGTTGAGATACTCTTGACATTAGTTTTAAAATGAAAGAAAAAGAGGTCACTTGTAATAACTTGTATAAAAGTTTCTAAAAGTTGGCAGTTAAACAAGAGTAGAAAAAGACCTATTGAAGTAATCTAAGGTAATGATTTCCTCTGTTAGTATTACAGCTCACTCAAAAGCTTTATCGTGTTGGTTAAGGTTATTATAAGAACAGCCTTACTTCTTCTTTCAAATATAAACAAAACCAAACTTCCAAATTCTTTTCATATATCAAGTCCTTTCAATTGGAAAGGGTTGAGCTCTCTGTACATGGTGAGGTGAATAATATACTCTGAAGCTTTCCTTAAGTAACCTTATCACCTTGAAGTCGTTTTTATGGTCACTGCCCATGTTCTTTTGAATTTCAATTGATGCAATAAAAATAGAACATCTAGAAATAAATCTCATGGGGGATTCAGGAAATGTAGTATGATGTGCTGGCAGTTTTCAGGGGTGTATGATTTTTTTAATAGTTTGAGAAACATCTGCTATATATTATATCCATAATGATCAGGGAGCAAACAACAGATAATCTAACTTTTTTGTGAATCTCATCACTGTGGGTTTGAAGTTGCAATTTACTTTAATGTCTGTATTACATAATTCACCTAGAAATAGACATTTAAAAGCTGTGCAGTAACTGTGAAGTCTTTAGAGTATTTTTGCTTGATTCACCATCTTCTTACTAAAACATTCCCTTAGTGTAATATTTGTGTAGGGGATGTTTGCCTGCCCCTTTCTGTGGTTCTTCTAAGAAACATCATGGTGCAGGGAATAATGCAGATAACATAAGGAACTTTGTCTACAGCTACAGTGAGATTTTTTGGTGCCATGGCACTACCAGTTGCTCAGGATGAAATACCACATGCAATACAAAATTATTAATTGATTTTGCAGTGAAAGGACTATATTTTCCCAACCACTGAAGAACTTTTTGGTCCTTCCTCTGTAGGTGGTGCCAAATGTTCTTGTAATAATGTCTCGAGAGAGTTGTATATTCTAATATAATTTATTGCACACATTGTAGGTGACTTTGGTAGCAGGTGCTGAGATTTGCAGAGCATCTGGTGGTTGTTGAGAGTAAGCTATGGTTGTGTTGTGGAGGCAGATATGCAGTATCTCCATGGGACAGTAAAACAGGGAGCAGTGTTGCTTAATGACCTTGTGGTGGTATCGCTTCCCACCATCAGACTTATGATCAGTGATGTAGGGGAAGAGAAGCATCACTATGCACCTCCCCAAACTTTCAGCACAGATGGAAAACCTGGATTTGGTCCCATTATTCTGTATCTGAGAAAACTGCTGTTCCTCTTTTGTGCTTCCATGAAAACTCACTGTGGATAAACTGGAGTAAGTGGTGTGATGGGACAGTATATCCATACTGTAATAATTAAGATTTGTTGCTGAGGACTGTGGTTCAATTCCAAGACAGAGGAACTTGAAAATAAAGACATTTCACAAGGAGAGTAGTCAGTCAATATACGGAAGAAATTCAGTGGAAACATGGTAATGGTTGGAAGCCAGACCATAAGCTTGAAAACCGAACTGTTTGCACAGGAGCAGAGTCTGGAGAAAAGAGAATTCACCTTTGCAGAGTCTCCATCTGCTTTATTCTACAGGGTCACTAATACAGCATCAGTTTCTCAGGATTGGTTATCATACTTGTTGGCATAGAGCATATTGGAGTTCCTACACTGGTAGTTAGCAGAGTAAATTGTTAACGTGGTCTTCTCTACAGTAGAGGTCTTTAAAATTTTGTGTTAACTCATGGCAGGCAGTCAATGTAAACCCATGTAAGCAGTATTGGGAGAATCTGCTGTGACCCGGGTGTGTTGTGGGTGGAGGATACAATGCTGAAGATGGTCTCAGCAGGTGATTAGTCCCAGAACTGCTTGATGTATGTGAATGCCCCAACGTTTCAGTAGCAGACATGGGCATCAAAATAGTAGTTCAGTTCCTGCAGCGTTTTTAATAAAATGCAAGGTTAGTGAATACTAGAATTGTTTTTTCTCAAAAAATAACAGAATTAACTTTCTCTTCCTGAAATTAAAAGTTTCTGTATATTTGATGTGAAGATTATTTTAATAAAATTGTATTTTAAACAAAAGCTGTGAAGCTTTCAGCTTGCCTATATTTTTGCTTAAGCAAGAATGTCCATTTCAACTGTGGGGACTAGAAATACTAATATAGCATCTTAGTATTCATCACCTTAGTTCTGACAGAAGTGAGAATGTGCTTCAAGAGCACTGATACTTTTGTAACTTTGTATAATCTGGACTTTCGGATATAGTAGAGTCTTCGGAGAAAAGTAACTGTAATTTTATATGATGTTTGTCGTGAATCACTCTAGGTGAATGCTAGCATTTCTTAATTCTAATTTAATTTCAT